CATGGCAGCAGTGTAAAAAGTGGTGTCGAATGCACAGTTCAAGTCTTCTCCCTGGTGTCAAATGTGACAGCTAGTGTCCACTGGCTGCATCAATAGTAGCTTCTCTTGACTACCTCTGCAACATGGTTTTGGACATTGTTTCTGGCTGCTGGACTCATGTGGTTTATCGCACCTCTCAGAGATTTAATAAATTACCTAATGTCCTTTAAATAAATTCAGTGTCTGCTTATATTAACAACTGTTTGGTTTCTGTTACTTGCTCTTGCTGAGATTACCAATGTACTCATTCAATAGTAGTATTCAACCTAATTAATTATTTCCTCTTTCTAGAAATATTCTTGTTCCTTGGTTTCTAGGATGCCACATTTTCAGTTTCCCTTTTTCCTCTCTGGCCACTTCTAGGTTTCTTTTTCTGGCACTATCTTCTCTTCAGCATGTCATTTAAATATTCCCATTTCTCAGGATTAGACCTTATTATTCTCACAATATGCTCATGTCCTAACAGATTTCATGTATTTATATGGCTGGAAATATAATCAATTTGCTGACTACTTCTAAACTTATTTCCTCAGCATAGATTTGATGTTACGAGTTCTACATCTACATATATAACTATGCTCAGCACATCTGCTTGTATATCTCATATGCAACTTGAACTCTAAGTTATGATATTTGCCCCTAAAATTGTCTCATCTCAGTGAATTACATCACCATCTACCCAGTGCTCATTTCAGAAATCTTAGAATCATCCTTTACTTTTTCCCTCTTGCCCCCTAAATCCCACCAAGCCCCAAGTCCTATCAATTTCTTTTCAGCTCTGTCAGCTTCTCCACTTTTATCACTTTGGATCTAATTACCATCATTTCTTATTTGAATTCCTATCCACTTAACTGATTCTTGAATTCACTCTTATTTTCACCAATCCATTCTCTTTATGACAGTCAAATTGCTGTTTTTAAAATTGGAAATTTATCATATGACTTCTCTATTGCAAATCCTTCAATGGGTTCCCATTGCTGTTACAATGAAATCCAAAATACTCTATACAACCCAAAAGAATATCATTTACCTGGTCTTTTTTGACCTCATTAGGCTCTTATACCCTTCTTCTATCCTGTATTAGTCAGTGTACAGCTGGAAAAACAGAATCCAAGAGCCGTTTCAATGAATAAAATATTACCTGGATATCAGGAAGCTGTTATCACCTTCCACTAGTCTTTACTTCCCTTTGATGTGTTGAAGGCACTGTGCCCATTCTTGCCACCTTGTGACAGAAATTAATATAAAATGTGCTTACCAAAGACTTAACAAAATGTAATTTTCGGGCTTCTAGCTACTGTGATTGAGAGGGGAACACAAATAACAGGCACATGTTCCTACTCTAATTTTTCAAATTAACCAAACTTGGCTTTTAAAACACTCTATCAAGACACACACACACACACACAGTCTCACATAAAAACACAATTTCCATAAGGTTAATATTAATTTATCCTTTGGGTATTAGCCTAAACAACAGTTTATAAACAAAGCTATTTTTGTCCCCAACATATTAATTTTGTTCCCACAGTATGTACCCACTGGCACCCTGTGCCTTTCCTCATAACATTCATAAAATTGAGACTAAATAATTAAATAGATTATATTCATTTAATATCTACCACTCATGCCAAACTAAAAAGTCATAGAAACGAAAGGCATATATACCTTATTCATTGCTACATCCCCACTGGATGGAGCATGGAAGATGTGGAATAAATATTTGCTGAATAAATGCAGTGTATCTTCTATTACAGTACTCAAAAGGGTAGTCCCTTCATTTATTGTTAATAATCCCTTCAGGGACAAAAACTGTTTGAAATGGTTATTTTACCATAAACAGAAGAGTCCATTTCTCAGGGGTTTCTCTTATGTTATACAGAAATTTACCAAAAAGTGGCATATTAGTTGTCAGAGTTAATTTTAGGTATCAACTTGACTGGACTAAGTAATATCCACAGAACAGGTAAAGCAAAACTTCTGGGTGTGTCTGTGAGGGTGTTTCCAAAGGAGACTGGCCTGTAAGTCAGTGGACAGAGTGGAAACCTTCAAGTGGGCAGACACCATCCAATTGGTTGGGGGCCCAACAGAACAAAAAAGGACAGAAAAAGATTTTCCCTCTCTCTCTCCTGGAGCTTACGTGCGCTCCTCCCTCTGTTCTTGGACATTAGAACTCAATGCTCTCCAGCCTTAGGACTCCAGAACTTACACCAGTGGCACTCCCATCTTGGGTTCTCAGGCCTTTAATCTCAAACTGAGAATTACACAATCCACTTTCTTTGTTCCAAGGCTTTTCAACTTGTGCTGAGCCATGCTATTGCCATTCCAAAATCTTCAGCTTGCAGATAGCCTGTAGTGGGACTTCTCAGCTTCCATAATTACATGAGCCAGTTTCTATAATAAATCCTCTATCTATCTGTCTATCTATCTATCTATCTATCATCTATCTACCTATCTAATTATCTAGCTGCTTATCAACCCATGTATCCTATTGGTTCTATCTTTCTGGAAAACCCTGACTAATATAGTGTCTTGGAACCATGAATGCCTAAATATTTTTCAATAACCTAATATATTCCATATTAATTTAAGTAACCATGAAGACATTTATGAAAATAGATAGGAAAAAGAGTCCAAAATAAGAAAAATTAGAAAGCAAAGACCCCTCTAATCTTGAGGTTCTAGAACATCAAGATATAGAAACATAACAAAATATATGAAAACAGATTTTCACAGATTTGAAAACAAAATACGAAAACAACAAAATCTGAAATCTTACCACATTGGGAGGTCAAAGTGGGAGTCCAGGAGTTTGAGACCAGCCTGGGCAACATAGCAAGACCCTGTCTATACAAAAAATGTAAAAAATTAGTTGGACATGTGACACACACGTGTGGTCCCAGCTACTAGGAATATGAAAACAACAAAATCTGTTTTACCTAAATATTCACATACATTTTGTGCCATAATGATATTTTCAAATAGTGAATGGCAACATCTGAGCATTAAAGTATTTGATAATGAAAGAAATAGAATTGATTCATTTGATAAGCTGGCTGATAGTGCTCCAATTTGACTCTATCTATTACATCAACTCCTTTGGCTCTTTATTCTCATAACAGAAAGACTCTAGGATACAAGAGGGCAGCTGAGCTATCAGCAGTCTGCTATCTTTGAAGCTGGGTTCCTGATTCTGAAATTAGATTTTAGAAATTCTAATACTCAGTGTTTGTTCTGTTTTTAAGAGGTGAGTTGTATCTAGCTCTTTCATCATCAAATGCTTATAATATAACCACTTATACATTCTGATTTGTGGGGGAAGGTGGAGATAAGATTACAATCAATGAACTTTGAAATTATTGCCGAGAGAGAGGAAAGGGTGAGAAGGGAAGTTACATTAAGAGGTAATTGATGTAGTTCATCTAGGAGTGCTTTTTTATCAGGGAAATAAGAAGCAGTCTTATCCAATGAAAGTGTATGGGCTAAGGAAATGGATGGAGGCCTGAGGAGAAAGGGAAAAATTTGAAGAAGTCACTGCAAAGTCTTCAAAAAGATGACTGTAAGGATTCTTGCATAGCTTTGAGAATTTGAAGAGAAATTTGATATCATGAAATATCAGAAATTATAATTGGCACCCTGTTGATATTTTATGAAGCAACTCCTGATATGTATGGCAGGAGTGCTGAATGCCATTAGTGAGGGTTAGCAAAGCAGACAAGTGCTGATGAGCACGTTACTGAAAAGTTTACCATGAAGTCCAATCTGAATAGAAAGGCAGAAAAGCCAGAACTGGAGTCATGGACTTGGGGATAAGCATTATAAGACAAAAATTGGAAGACAAAGCATAAATTCAACAGTGATGATAAATTGCTAGGAAAACAGGAGGCTAGGCGAGAAAAAAACTTTTAAATGAGAAATTCCTACTGAGACCAGAGGTTCTCAGGAGATTGAAAAGAACTGATTTTGTCAAGGACTTCAAGTAGAAGCAGAATTTTAAAAATACACACAGAAGTTCAAAAGGTGGGGGGTGGGGGTGGTTGTTAAAGAAAGGCTACAAATAATGGTCTAGAAGTAGATTACCCAGCCCTGTTTCAAGAAACATGGGTGGAAGTACATGGAATAAACAGAGACTTTTTTTAAAGAAAAGGCTGCCAAAGATCTTAAATTTTAAGATAAAAATTCATGTGTCATTTAGATTGAGAAGGTAGACTGGGATGTTTGTTTATGGTGGAACAGGGTCCTAAAGAGTCTTTTGAGAAAAACAGAGACTACTCAGGAATGGAGTGGGCCTAGAGCCTAGGGAGGTAGGCTAGATAAGGTAGTTAGAAACAAAATGAGTTTTGATTTCCTAGACAAGATGGCCAAACAGAAACAGCTCTGGTCGGCAGCTTCCAGTGACACCAACACAGAAAGTGGGTGATTTCTGCATTTCTAACTGAGGCATGCAATTCATCTCATTAGAACTTGTTAGACAGTGGGTGCAGCCCAAGGAGGGCAAGCAGAAGCAGGGTGGGGTGTTGCCTCATCTGGGAAGTGCAAGGAGTAGGGGAATTCCTTCCCCTAGCTAAGGGAAGCTATGAGGGACCCTGCCAGACACTATGTTTTTCCCACGGTCTTCGCAACCCACAGACCATGGGATTCCCTCTCCCTCAGGTGCCTACGTCACAAGGGCCCTGGGTTTTAAGTACAAAACTGAGTGGCTGTTTAGGCAGACACCAAGATAGCTGCAGGAGTTTTTTTTCATACCCCAGTCGTGCCTGGAATGCCAGGGAGACAGAATCATTCGCTAAAGCCAGGCAGCCAAGGGTCTTGCTCAGTGGATCCCACCCCCACAGAGCCCACCAAGCTAAAAGTCTAGCTTGAAATTCTCACTACCAGGAAAGTAGTCTGAAGTCGACAGTGAACTCTAGACCTTGGTGAGGGTGGGGGGTGAGGGGTGTTTGCCATTACTGAGGCTTGAGTAGGCAGTTTTCCACTCAGTGCAAACAAAGCCCCCAAAAAGTTCGGAGTGGGCAGAGCACATCATGCCACAAAGCCACTGTTGTCAGACTGCCTCTCTAGATTTGTCCTCTCTGGACAGGGCATCTCTGAAAGAAAGGAAGCAGCCCGTCTGGGGCTTATAGATCAAACTCCCATCTCCCTGGAACAGAGCACTTGGGGGAAGGGGCAGCTCTGGGCACAGCTTCAGCAGACTTAAACATTCATGCCTGCTCCCAACACAGTGCTCGAGCTCTGCTTAAGGACAGTTTGCCTTCTCAAGTGGGTCCCTGAACCCCATGCCTCCTGACAGGGAGACACCTCCCAGCAGGGGTTGACGGATGTCTCATACAGAAGAGCTCCAGCTGGCATGTGGAGGGTGCTTCTCTGGGACAAAGCTTCCAGAGAAAGGAGCAGGCAGCAATCTTTGCTGTTCTACAGTCTCTGCTGGTGATACCTAGGCAATCAGGGTCTGGAGTGGACTCCCAGCAAACTCCAGCACACCTGCAGAAGGGGGCCTTGTTAGAAGAAAGACTAACAAACAGAAAGCAATAGCATCAACATCAACAGAAAAGATGACCACGCAAAAACTCCATATGAAGATCACCAACAGCAAAGAACAAAGGTAGATAAATCCAGGAAGATAAGAAACAATCAGCACAAAAAGGCTGAAAATTCCAAAAACCAGAATGCCTCTTCTTCTTCAAAGGCTCACAACTCCCCTCCAGCAAGGGAACAAAACTGGATGGAGAATGAGTTTGACAAATTGACAGAAGTAAGCTTCAGAAGATGAGTAATAACAAACACCTCTGAGCTAAAGGAGCACATCCTAACCCAATGCAAGGAAGCTAAGAACCTTGAGAAAATGTTAGCAGAACTGCTAACTAGAATAACCAATTTAGAGAAGAACATAAATGACCTGATGGAGCTAAAAAACACAGCATGAGAACTTCATGAAGCATACATAAGTTTCAGTAGCCAAACCAATCAAGCAAAAGAAAGTGTATCAGAGACTGAAGATCAACTTGATGAAATAAAGCATGAAGACAAGATTAGAGAAAAAAGAATGAAAAGAAATGACGAAACCTCCAAGAAATGTGGGACTATGTGAAAAGAACAAACCTATATTTGATTGGTGTACCTGAAAGTGACAGGAAGAATAAAACCAAGTTGGAAAACACACTTCAAGACATTATCCAGGAGAACTTCCCCAACCTAGCAAGACAGCCCAACATTCATATTCAGGAAATACAGAGAACACCACAAAGATACTCCTCAAGAAGAGCAACCCTGAGACACATCATCATCAGATTCACCAAGGTTAAAATGAAGGAAAAAATGTTAAGGACAGCCAGAGAGAAAGGTCGGGTTACCCACAAAGGAAAGCCCATCAGACTAACAGGGGATCTCTCTGCTGAAACTCTACAAGCCAGAAGAGAGTGAAGGCCAATATTCAACATTCTTAAAGAAAAGAATTTCCAACCCAGAATCTCATATCCAGCCAAACTAAGCTTCGTAAGTGAAGGAAAAATAAAATTCCATACAGACAAGCAAATGCTAAGGGATTTTCTTGCCACCAGGCCTGCCTTACAAGAGCTTCTGAAGGAAGCAGTAAATATGGAAAGATAAAACCACTACCAACCATTGCAAAAACAAACCAAAATGTAAAGACCATCAACATTATGAAGAAACTGCATCAACTAAAAGGCAAAATAACCAGCAAGCATCATAATGACTGGATGAAATTCACACAATATTAAGCTTAAATGTAAATGGGCTAAATGCCCCAATTAAAAGGCACAGACTGGCAAATTGGATAAAGAGTGGAGACCCATCCTCATCAGTAGGCTGTATTCAGGAGACCCATCTAACACACATAGACTCAAAATAATGGGATGGAGAAATATATACTAAGCAAATTGAAAGCAAAAAATAGTGGGGTTTGTAATCCTAACCTCTGATAAAACACATAATTGGAACTAAAACACTCTGAAACAGTCTCTCAGACCACAATGCAGTTACATTAGAACTCAGGATTAAGAAATCCACTCAAAACTGCAGAAATACATGGAAACCAAACAACTACTGGGTAAATAATGAAATGAAGGCAGAAATAAATAAGTTCTTTTAAACCAGTGAGAACAAAGACACAATGTACCAGAATTTCTGGGACACAGCTAAAGCAGTGTTTAGAGGGAAATGCATAGCACTATATCCTCATAGGAGAAAGCAGGAAAGATCTAAAATGGCACCCTAGCATCACAATGAAAAGAACTAAAGAATCAGGAGCAAACAAATTAAAAGCTTGCAGAAGACAAGAAATAACTAAGATCACAGTAGAACTGAAGGATATAGAGACATGAAAAACCCTTCAAAAAAATCAGTGAATCCAGGGTCTCATTTTTGAAAAGATTAACAAAATAGATAGACCAATAGCCAGACTAAGAGAGAAGAATCAATCAGACACAATAAAAAATGATAAAGGGGAGATCACCACAAATCCCGCAGAAATACAACTACCAACAGAGAATATTAGAATATTATAAACACCTCTATGCAAGTAAACTAGAAAATCTAGAAAAAAATGGATAAATTCCTGGATACCTGCACCTTCACAAGACTAAACTAGGAAGAAGTCAAATCCCTGAATAGACCAATAACAAGTTCTAAAATTGATGCATTCCTTAATAGCTTACCAACCAAAAAAAGTCCAGGTCCAGATGGATTCACAGTCAAATTCTACCAGAGGTACAAAGAAGAGCTGGTATATTTCTTCTGAAACTATTCCAAACAACAGAAACAGAAGGATTCCTCTCTAACTCATTTTTTGAGGCCAGCATCATTCTGATACCAAAATCTGGCAGAGACATGACAAAAAAAGAAAATTACATGCCAATATCCCTGATGAACATTGATGCAAAAATCCTCAATACAATACTGGCAAACTGAATCAAGTAGCACATCAAACAGTTTATCCACCATAATCAAGTCAGCTTCACCCCTGGGATGCAAGGTTGATTCAACATATGCAAATCAATAAAGGTAATCCATCACATAAACAGAAACAATGACAAAAACTACAGAATTATCTCAACAGATTCAAAAAAGGCATTTGATAAAATTCAACATGCCTTTATGCTAAAAACACTCAGTCAACTAGGTATTGATGAAACCGATCTAAAATTAGTAAGAGCTATTTATGATGAACCCACAGCCAATATCATACTGAATAGGCAAAAGCTGGAAGCATTCACTTTGAAAACCAGCAGAATACAAGGATGCCCTCTCTCACCACTCCTATCGAACATAGTATTGGAAGTTCTGGACAGGGTAATTGGGCAAGAGAAAGAAATAAGGGGAATTCAAATAGGAAGAAGGAAAGTCAAATTATCTCTGTTTGCAGATGACATAATTGTATATTTAGAAAACCCCACCATCTCAGTGCAAAAACTCTTTAAGCTGATAAGCAACTGCAGCAAAGTCTAAGGATACAGAATCAATGTGCAAAATTCACAAGCATTCCTATACACCAGTAATAGACAAATAGTGAGCCATATCATGAGTGAACTCCCATTCACAATTGCTACAAACAGAATTAAATACAGTACCTAAGAATACAACTTACAAGGACCACTTCCAGGAGAACTGGAAACCTCTGCTCAAGGAAATAAGAGAGGACACAAATAAATGGTAAAACATTCCCTACTCATGGGTAGAAAGAATCAATATAATAAAAATGGCCATGCTGCCCAAAGTAATTTATAGATTCAATGCTATCCTCATCAAGCTCTACCACTGACTTTCTTCACAGAATTAGAAAAAACTACTTTAAATTTCATATGGAAACAAAAAAGAGCCCATATAGCCAAGAAAGTCCTAAGCAAAAAGAACAAAGCTGGAGGCATCACACTACCTGACTTCAAACTATACTACAAGGCTACAGTAACCAAAATAGCATGGTACTCATTCCAAAACAGATATATGGACCAATAGAACAGAACAGAGGCATAAGAAATAACACCACACATCTACAACTGAGGAAATGTGTTTTCTTTCTGGGTCCACAAGGGGATGTAGTTTTAAGGGCAAGAACTTCCTAGCACCATGACCCCCTCCCATCTCTCTCCATCTGGGAGACTTAACGGTTTATGTTTGAATTTTGTGGGCATGGGAAGAAACTAAGAGTCAATCACTCCAGTGGAAGTTCTAAGGAACTCCTTTCATTGGCCTGGGGTCTTAGAGAAGGTGGGGGTTCCTCCCAGGTTGAAAGTTCCCTTCTTCTACACCCCTTCAGACTTCATGTTTGGATCCCCTTCCACGAACACTCCCTTCATGGAAACCATCCTTCTCTCCTGGATTTCCCCTCTGGCATCCCCTTCCACACTCTCTCATGGAAGCCTGTCTTCTCCTCCTAAACTCCATCTCTCTCTGTTCCCTGCCACTCAGGGTGGAAGCTGCTTTCCTCTCCTGGATTCCATCTTTCTGGATTCTCTCACCCAGTGTGAGAGTTAGCTGTTTCTCTCTCCTGTTTTTTTCCTCTCTCTCTCTAAATAAATCACTTTCTATAAACACTTTTGAGTCTGGCATTTACTGCACACTGTGCCGTGGTCCCCTCTCTCTTTCTTTTTTTTTTTTTTTTTTTTTTTTTTTGAGACGGAGTTTCGCTCTTGTTACCCAGGCTGGAGTGCAATGGCACAATCTCGGCTCACCGCAACCTCCGCCTCCTGGGTTCAGGCAATTCTCCTGCCTCAGCCTCCTGAGTAGCTGGGATTACAGGCACGTGCCACCATGCCCAGCTAATTTTTCATAGCTTTTAGTAGAGACGGGGTTTCACCATGTTGACCAGGATGGTCTCGATCCCTTAACCTCGTGATCCACCCGCCTCGGCCTCCCAAAGTGCTGGGATTACAGGCTTGAGCCACCGCGCCCGGCCCCTCTCTCATTCTTGAGAGGGCAAGAGACCAAGAACCTGGAGAAACGTCCTCTCAGGGGATCTAAGGGCATCCTGAGCCTCTGAACCCCAATATTACATGTTTGGTGAGCCAGCCAGGAGAGGGGTACACCAGAAAAAGGGGTACAGCCAGGAAAGATGTACAGCCAGAGAAGACTTCAAAATTGTGAGTAAAACCGGCCCCATTCTGTCCTGTCTCTTTAAGAACACCTGAAGCAGGTGCAGCCAGGCAGGGATTCAGGGAACCGGAGCAGCTGCACTGAGCCTTGGAGGCATGACCCAGGCCATCTTAAGTGGTGTGGGCTAGCCAGAATTAAAAGCACAGTTTCTTTACCTTCAAGCTGTCTCTCTGCTTTCCCTCTCCTTCTCAATCCTTTGGGACCAAAACCTGAAGGAGCCTGTGGGGCAGAGAAGGTGAGCACTGCCCCCAGGGCCTTTTCCTCCTTGCCCGCTGGGAACAGCCCAGCCCCTGAACCGGAACTGGGACCTCCCACAGCTCAGCTGTGCAGCAAGCAGGAGCCGGGCTAGAGAAAACAGTGGGGAGGGGCGAGGTACGGCCCCAACCTGTAGGGAACCTGGAGCGTGGAGGCTTGGCCCATAGTTCTGGCAGGCCTACCTGGCATTCTCCAGTCCCAGGCAGCCAGGTAAAAAGGCTCCCCAGGACGCGCAGGTCCCTGTTTGGGCAGCAGCTTGGGGAGTGGCCCAGGCGCGCACATGGTTCTGGCGGGGTCAACATGGCGGCCGAAAGCCGTGGGCGCGAGGGAACGCACGGCTGGCCCAGCAGCGGCTGCGAACATGGCTTTTAAACTGTCGTAGCAAGCGGCTTTTTTCCTCTGCCAGCGCAGCTGACAGAAAGGAAGCGGCTGCTGGCCGTCAGCCCCGCCCAGCTTTTAGGCAGGCCACATAGTCTCAGGGTGCAGTATTCTCATTCAAAATACAGCTTAAGGAAGCTTTTTGCCTTCCCTTAATGCAATTGGCCTGCACAGTTGGTTAAGATACAGGGCCTGTAACTGCAGTGTTGCTGGTTCAAGTTCCTGCTGGGACTCTGTCTTGAATTGGCAAAACCTTTTGGGGAAATTCAGAAGCTGAAGGCTGTGGGATTTTGTGTTTGGTGTATAATTTGTCTTGCTTAGGATTGGCTCTCTCTATGGCAGAACTTTTCCATGTAGAAGATCATCGTTAAAACGGTTCCAGGCCCCAAATTGTCAATGGCAGGTCTCACAACCCTAAAAGCATTTTCCTACAAAGGAGATGGGTTAGGGCAGAGGAGGCCCGGGTCCTGAGGGTATTGTTCCAGCCTCAGCCACGTGGCCTGTCTTCTTTGAACTGTGTGCTCTACTAACCCCTCCCTAGAAGTTTACCCTTCTGGGGCACTTTTATAAATTGGCCTGTGTAAATTGGACTTTTGCTGGGAAATATTGGTACCCATCTCCTGTGCCTCATTGGCCTCATCGGGGCTCGTTGGTACGTGACTAACCAACCCAATAGATCTTCTCATTCCTTTCCTCTATGGTAGTCACTGGAGGTCATGTAGGCAGTGAGAGAGGTCCTATGATGCTGGTAGGTCGTGGTTCAAATCCAGTACATAGGAGGCCCTCTGATAAGATGGATCACGCATTTTGAGCATATGAAATTTCAGGATACTGACTGAAAGATGTTTCAGTTCAGTACCCATTTTACCTGGGGGACACCTCAGGTAGAAGCGGCTATAATTTCTTTAATTGGGGATGCAGGCATCCCTTATGTGCGATTTCAGATAAGTCCTTCTATTCCCAAGCTCAAGTCCCCATTAAAGTGTATACTGGAAAATTGGGACCGATTTGACATATAGTCTTTAAGGAAGAAGCCACTCATTTTTCTCTGCCAAATAGCATGGCCAAATTACCCTCTGCCAAGTGGCAAAACTAACCCCCAAAGGGAAGGGAAAAAAACCCAACAGCTTTCCTTGAGCAATTGCAGGATGCCTTAATAAAGTACACCCCCTGTCACCAGACTCCATTGGGAATCAGTTAATACTAAAGGACAAGTCCATTACTCAGTTAGCAGCAGGTATTGGGTGGAAGCTCCAGAAGCTGGCTTTGGGACCAGAACAGAGTCCAGGCAACCTCAGTGATTTATAATAGAGATGAGAAGGAATCGGTTGAAAGGAACAGGAGAGATCAGCCTTAGTTATGGCTTTCAGGCAAGCAGACCCAGGGCTCAAATGAGGGAAACGTTTGGGTTATTCGCCAGTCTGACAGAACTTGTTACCAGTGTGGCCTCATGGGACATTTTACAAGAAATTGTCCCCATAGGAATGGACCACCATCTTGTCCTTGCCTGATGTGCCAAGGAAATCACTGGAAAGCACACTGTCCCAGGGGATGAAGGTTCCCAGGGCCTGAGGTGTCCGACCAGATGACCTAATGGCAGGACTGAGGGTGCCTGGAGTTAGTGCCAGCATGAGGCGTCACCCCCACAGAGCCCTGGGTAAAGCTGACCATAGAAGTCCAGGAAGTCAGTCTTCTCCCGGATGCTGGCACAGCCTTCTTAGTATTTCTCTCCTGCCCTGAAAACTTGGTGCTTGTTAAATCTCTCCCCTCAGACTCTCCCTCTCTAGGCCCATCTTG